TTCTGCATTCGCGAACCCCGTACATAGCGCAGATTCGATATTTCAAAATTTCAGCTTTTCGTGTTTTCGTGATTTTCACGAAAATTTTCATGAAATTTTTTCGCCATGGGAAAAGAATTTCATGAAAAAAAATTTCGTAAGCAAAATTTATTATCATGAAAAGCTGAAATTCTGAAATATGAAGTAGATTAGGAAGTGCAGTGCAAGTTCTACCGTTGTGCTCTACGGTACCAAACGAAGTGCCCTCAAATGCTTGGCTCTGTGCGACTATTGCAGCAAAAATTCAGTTCCCTGCGAATCGCTCAATCGCAAATTGATTTTGGCTTTCTGAAGCCTCTCGTCTTCAAAAAGATTTTGGAGGGGGGAATGGATTGACTGTTAACAAAGCAGCGGATATTTTTGGAAAAATGATGGCAGGCGAGCGAGTCGTCCCCTTCAATTAATATTATATGAAATACCATTTGTGTCTGAATTTTACTCAGCGGGTCTTTCGCCCGAAGTATGTAATGCCTCAATCTGAGGGCAGAACCAATGAAAATAAAGCTGGAACTGAGCAGTAATGATGAAAACAAAACTATAACATAAAACTAATGAAGTAGAACTGATTTCTTAGTGTTTTCTTTCACATGCGAGATCCACATTGTACTATGAGAACCTATAAAACAGTTCGAGATAGACCTCGGCTGGATCAACTCAAATTTGGCAATCTTCCTCTCAAACACCTCATGAGGCTGCCCTGGCCTTGTAAAATCAAAAATTTTTCGTAAAATGCTATCGTCTAAGAATGAATGTTGGACAGAAAAAGCGCCCTTCGGAGAGGGATGGTTGGCTAGTTTTTTTCTGAGTAAAATCCTAAATCCAGCTGATCACTGAAATTACCATGTGTAGGTGTTCGGAGCGAGATTTCTTTTGTTCCACCTGTTGTGCCTGAAAAACAGAACAGTTCAACGGGAATTATGTGCCGATCACAATAGCACATTTCTGCAGCTCATTTATTTGCCACACGACCGAATAGCAACATGTTCTAGTTTTGACTGATCATTCATATTTCCTGAGGGTCAGTTGTGAAATCGCCAAGTATTCCGATTCAATTGAGCGATTAGAAATGAAAAACACTAGTGAGACCGATCTTTAGAAGTTTAAACGGACTAACAAAATGACTGCGGGATGCTAAGCAGTGTCACATAATATATCAAATAATGATTTATGGTTTTTTGTTGGAAATCAAATAATGATTTGTGGTTTTTTTTGTTATATATATGATTAGGTATCTTCCACACACACACACACACACACACACACACACACACACACACACACACACACACACACACAC